TCATTCTTCTGATCTGGTCTGGTCGTGTGGTCATCCGACCTCTTCCTTCACCACATGTCCGCTACAGCAGACAATGACTGAAGCTCTTCACAATAGGTACGGTGGGTCTCTTAGCCTTGTCACCACAACCTTCCCCCAAGCTCTGTCCAACAACCTTCCCCCAAGCTCTGTCCAACAACCTTCCCCCAAGCTCTGTCCAACAACCTTCCCCCAAGCTCTGTCCAACAACCTTCCCCCAAGCTCTACCCTACAATCTTCCCCCAAGCTCTGTCCAACAACCTTCCCCAAGCTCTACCCTACAACCTTCCCCAAGCTTTGTCCAACAACCTTCCCCAAGCTTTGTCCAACAACCTTCCCCCAAGCTCTACCCTACAACCTTCCCCCAAGCTCTGTCCAACAACCTTCCCCCAAGCTCTACCCTACAACCTTCCCCCAAGCATTGTCCAACAACCTTCCCCCAAGCTTTGTCCAACAACCTTCCCCCAAGCTTTGTCCAACAACCTTCCCCCAAGCTCTACCCTACAACCTTCCCCCAAGCTCTGTCCAACAACCTTCCCCCAAGCTCTACCCCACAACCTTCCCCCAAGCTCTGTCCAACAACCTTCCCCCAAGCTCTACCCCACAACCTTCCCCCAAGCTCTGTCCAACAACCTTTCCCCAAACTCTACCCCACAACCTTCCCCCAAGCTCTGTCCAACAACCTTCCCCCAAGCTCTACCCTACAACCTTCCCCAAGCTCTGTCCAACAACCTTCCCCCAAGCTCTACCCCACAACCTTCCCCAAGCTTTGTCCAGCAACCTTCCCCCAAGCTCTACCCTACAACCTTCCACCAAGCTCTGTCCAACAACCTTCCCCCAAGCTCTACCCCACAACCTTCCCCCAAGCTCTGTCCAACAACCTTCCCCAAGCTCTACCCCACAACCTTCCCCAAGCTCTGTCCAACAACCTTCCCCCAAACTCTACCCCACAACCTTCCCCCAAGCTCTGTCCAAAAACCTTCCCCCAAGCTCTACACTACAACCTTCCCCCAAGCTCTGTCCCACAACCTTCCCCAAGCTCTGCCCCACAACCTTCCCCCTAGCTCTACCCCACAACCTTCCCCAAGCTCTGTCCCACACCTTTCCCCAAACTCTACCCACAACCTTACCCCAAGCCCTGCCTCACAACCTTCCCCAAACTCTAACCCCACAACCTTCCCCCAAACTCTGCCCCACAACCATCCCCCAAGCCCTGCCTCACAACCTTCCCCCAAGCTCTACCCCACAACCTTCCCCAAGCTCTGCCTCACAACCATCCCCCAAGATCTGCCTCACAACCTTCCCCACGCTCTGTCCCACAACCTTCCCCGAGAGCACTGCTCCACAACCTTCCTCCCAAGCTCTACTTCACAACCTTCTCTCAAGCTCTTCCTCACAACCTAATTATTTACGTAAGTGAATTATTTACCACATTATTACTCATATTATTTTGCCAAGTGAAAATTGCAATACAACTTAACATGAATTACTGTAATTAAATTCTTTACAAATATATTATTTAGACTCAGAAGTTACATCTGTGAATATCTTGTTACTGGGGTAGCGGGAGTGAATACGAGCTTCAGCCATATATATATATATATATATATATATATATATATATATATATATATATATATATATATATATATTATATATATATATATATAAGCCTATACTGCATAAACCACAAGTGAAGATTAACAATCTTTGGACAACACCCACCAGTGGGACTCGAACCCAGAAAGCACAACTACCTTCCAGTAGCTGCCATAACTAGTACGCTTTAAACCCACTACACCATCAGACCCTACAAAAGAAGTATCTCTACTTCTCGAAGTCTCTACTTCTTTTGTAGGGTCTGATGGTGTAGTGGGTTAAAGCGTACTAGTTATGGCAGCTACTGGAAGGTAGTTGTGCTTTCTGGGTTCGAGTCCCACTGGTGGGTGTTGTCCAAAGATATATATATATATATATATATATATATATTTATATATATATATAATATATATAATATATATATATATATATATATATATATTATATGTACAGAGTTACAGACATATTTACATTTACTCTTCTTTCCGGTGATTCGATCAAACAACTGATGCATTTTTAGTGTAAAATATGCAGTTGTTTGCAGTTACTTTATTATGAAAATCAGCTCCAGATGATCAGCGAGGAACATCTTCATATTGCTAATAATATATGTCTTACCACTTTTCTGATTCGACATTGTTGTGAAGATGAGCAGAAGAGGCAGGTCCCAGAAGGCTCACCTTGTGTGTCCCCCTCACTCAACACGCCAGCTGCCATCAGAGCAAACAGACTTATCATGAGCCTGAACCAAGATCATTTTCCGTATAATGTCATCAGCGTGTAATACACATCGTAACTTGACACGAGTTAAACCCGGGTAATAAATATGAGGATCATCAAGGCTGAAGGAACTAATTACCGGTTGATTGAGCTGGCGGCCACTCAGGTGTAGAGGCTCTCAACTACCTGGCTCCACCACTGGTAGCACGCCTGGTTAAATGGCTAACTCAGTCGTTATAATTGGCCATTAAAGCCGCTGATGGAATGAGCCAACCGCTGCTCACTAACGATCCACCTAAGTCTTTCATCTCAAGAACATTTCCGTCCCCCCCCCCCCACCTTGCTGTCTTACAGGAGCAGGCCCCCCCCTTGCTGTCTTACAGGAGCAGGCCCCCCACCTTGCTGTCTTACAGGAGCAGGCCCCCCCACCTTGCTGTCTTACAGGAGCAGGCCCCCCCACCTTGCTGTCTTACAGGAGCAGGCCCCCCACCTTGCTGTCTTACAGGAGCAGGCCCCCCCACCTTGCTGTCTTACAGGAGCAGGCCCCCCCACCTTGCTGTGTACAGGAGCAGGCCCCCCCACCTTGCTGTCTTACAGGAGCAGGCCCCCCACCTTGCTGTGTTACAGGAGCAGGCCCCCCCACCTTGCTGTCTTACAGGAGCAGGCCCCCCCACCTTGCTGTCTTACAGGAGCAGGCCCCCCACCTTGCTGTCTTACAGGAGCAGGCCCCCCACCTTGCTGTCTTACAGGAGCAGGCCCCCCTACCTTGCTGTCTTACAGGAGCAGGCCCCCCCACCTTGCTGTCTTACAGGAGCAGGCCCCCCCACCTTGCTGTCTTACAGGAGCAGGCCCCCCCCCACCTTGCTGTCTTACAGGAGCAGGCCCCCTAACTTGCTGTCTTACAGGAGCAGGCCCCCCCACCTTGCTGTCTTACAGGAGCAGGCCCCCCCACCTTGCTGTCTTACAGGAGCAGGCCCCCTACCTTGCTGTCTTACAGGAGCAGGCCCCCTACCTTGCTGTCTTACAGGAGCAGGCCCCCCACCTTGCTGTCTTACAGGAGCAGGCCCCCCCACCTTGCTGTCTTACAGGAGCAGGCCCCCACCCTTGCTGTCTTTACAGGAGCAGGCCCCCCCCACCTTGCTGTCTTACAGGAGCAGGCCCCCCACCTTGCTGTCTTACAGGAGCAGGCCCCCCACCTTGCTGTCTTACAGGAGCAGGCCCCCCACCTTGCTGTCTTACAGGAGCAGGCCCCCCCCCACCTTGCTGTCTTACAGGAGCAGGCCCCGACGGCAGAGCTGCCCTCTTATGGTGTATTGTTATTGTTGTGGTGTAATACTGTTGTGATGAGTGTTGTATTGTTATTGTTGTGGTGTAATACTGTACGAGTGTTGTATTGTTATTGTTGTGGTGTAATAACATACGAGTGTTGTATTCTTTTCATTAGTGTGCAACAATACAATTATAAGGAGTGAACCACCCAGAATGAGACCACAAACCTCAGATGCACAAACTTGCTATATAGTCACGTTGCTTCAGTACATCGACTAAGAAACCTTCAGCATGAAAGCGGAACTTTAAGAAATACATGACACCATCAAACACTCAGACTGTGCTCAAATGTTGAGGCCATTGTTGCAACGTCTCTAAGGAAGAGTCCTCGGGGACATCTGAGTGACTGATAGGACCAATGGACCAGGGAGACTCCTCACAGTCACATCTATTTCCTGAGACCAAGAGAGGCTCATCACAGTGTTATCTGAGTGAGAACTATTCCCCGAAAACAAGAGAGGCTCATCACATTGTTATCTGAGTGGAAACTAATTTAGCGTGAGAGTAGTGAATATACATTATCAGTCGGGAGAGTGAAGACTAACCTCACCCAAATGTTGTAGGTGTATAAGTAGCCGTCAGTCACTCGCGGGAGGAAAGTGAACCCATGTCATCCACGCCAGAACCACTGAATAGATAGATAAGCACATACACAACTCAGTGGACTGCGCTCTGGGTTCGTTGTCCTAAGGGTTTGGGTTCGATTTCCAGTCAACACAAATGGGCAGAGTTTCTTTCACCTGATGCTACTGTTTCTCTAGCAAATGTTATAGGTATTAAGCAAATGTTATTCGGGGCCTCGTAGCCTGGTGGATAGCGCGCACGACTCGTAATTCTGTGGAGCGGGTTCGATTCCCGCACGAGGCAGAAACAAATGGGCAAAGTTTCTTTCACCCTGAATGCCCCTGTTACCTAGCAGTAAATAGGTACCTGGGAGTTAGTCAGCTGTCACGGGCTGCTTCCTGGGGGTGAAGGCCTGGTCTAGGACCGGGCCGCGGGGACACTAAAGCCCCGAAATCATCTCAAGATAACCTCAAGATAACCTGGGATTTAGACAACTGTGTCGAATTGTATTTTCAGAAATCGTCAATTGTACTTTCTGTTTTTGTCTGTAGGGATAACGTTTCTATTAACAATATCTTTCAGGACCCTTTCCTCCGTTTTATGAGCTGTCGAAAAGAAGTTCCTGTAAAATAGTCTAATATGGGTACATGTGTTTTTTTAGTTGACTCTTCAGAGGTTGCATGACATTTTACCTTTCTTTTTATGATGTCTTTAACAAAACCATTAGAAAAGCCGTTGTTGATTAGGACCTGCCTTACCCTACAGAGTTCTTCATCTGTAGGGTAAGGCAGGTCTGTGATGAGCCTCTCTTGCTTCTATCCTGATCTGTGGCTGAGAGCACAGTCGACGTAAGTGTTGACAACACTCCTCTTGTACTTGTTTGGGCAATCACTATTGGCATTGAGGAACATTCCTATGTTTGTTTCCTTAGTGTAGAAACTCCTATGTTTCTACACTATGTTTCTCCTATGTTATTCCAATGTTTGTTTCCTTCTACAGAAGGAAACAAACAGTTTCTCCAATGGTTTCGTCGAAGACATCATAAGAAGGAAAGTGAAACGCCATGCAACCTCTGAAGAGACAACTAACACAACACCTATACCCCCTATTAGACTATTTTACAGGAACTTCTTTTCTACAGCTCATAAAACGGAGGAAAGGGTCCTGAAAGATATTGTTAATAGAAACGTTATCCCTACAGACAAAAATCAGAGGATACAACTGACGATTTACTATAAAACCAGAAAAACGGCCAGCCTACTCATGAGAAACTCTCCAGACACAAAGCAGAACGCTTTAAAAGAGACCAACGTCGTCTATGCCTTCAAATGCCCACTTGGGGACTGTAAGCTCCAAAAAACCCAGTATATAGACAAGACAACAACATCTCTTTCTAGGCGTTTAACGATGCATAAGCAACAGGGCTCCATTAAGGAACATATAATCTCTTCCCACAACCAAACCATCGCCAGAGAAATCCTAGTAAACAAACACAGAAATCATCGATAGATACAGCGATAGCAGGCGGCTTGATGTTTGCGAGGCACTACACGTTAAGAAGTCAACACCAGCAATCAACAGCCAATTAATGCACAACTATATTCTACCCACCTCAAGACTCCGCTCCAATATAGAAGCATCAAGAAATATGGACAATAGGCTTTCTACAATCACTTCCATTTCAATACCCATTGTTTCGTGTTCTGTCTTGTGTTGATGAAATTAATACCCTATTAAATACCACCTCACCCCATCCACCTCACTCAAATGTAGATATAAACAAATCGGAGATGTGTAAGTTCTATTCAGTTGTGTATGTGTAAAGTCTTTGAAAATGTAATAAGTTTTACGAAACGTGCTCAAGTGTAGCGTCAGACTAGAAATAAAAATGAATTTGGAGAATTGATTTTTGAATTACCTCCAACAGTGAAAGAAATGTACGAAAGATTGAGAAAAATTCGTGTTAGAATTATTAATCTTACTTTTTCGGTCATATTTAATAATATATGTCTACAGGAAAGACTGCTACCAAAATATACTAATATTAAAGCGCACGACCCAGCAGCAAGGAATCAAGCCTGCAAGATAAAATATCGCCAGGATCTGATTCGTGATCAGATATGCAAGGCAGAGAATGAAATCAAAGACAACAAAACGCAACTACTTCATGCTACAAACGAGTGGAGAAATAGCAACATCGACGAAAGT